ATCTCTCTATCCATCTTCTCTATCCATCTCTCTATCCATCTCTCTATCCATCTATCCATCTCTCTATCCATCTCTCTCTATCCATCTCTCTATCCATTCTCTCTTTCTCTACAGAGCAGTTTCCATGTAAAAAGTGTAAAAAGCCAGGGAAAGATGACCAAACGTCTACCTAATCTGGCTGAACTTACATTGAGTTAAAGGCTAAAGTCAGACACTAATAAATATTCACGCCTGAGGGGCTGCACCTTCGTGTTCGCCTTACTTGTTAACTATCTAATATTTGAAAAAAAAAGAAACATATATTTTACAAAAATGAGCAGTGTTTCCTTAAATCTTACTGTCCCATTATGGTACACACAAAGCCAAACAAACAAACAAAGATTTTCAAGTTCTGCAACAGGCTGTAGAGGGGTAAACCGCTGTCCTAAGAGCAATGAAAACATTATTTTTTTTCCTGGAACTGTAGTTGCTGAGCAAAAATTGTTGCTGCATCATGAGCATCGTCTATTCTAGCATCAGCATCAACATTTGCAGCAGGTCCTGTCTTTCCTGTGGTGTGGGGGTCGGCGCCGGCACTGAAGCAGGCGCTGGCACTGAAGCAGGCGCTGGCACTGAAGCAGGCGCTGGCACTGAAGCAGGCGCTGGCACTGAAGCAGGCGCACTGAAGCAGGCGCTGGCCTGAAGCAGACTGAAGCAGGCGCTGGCACTGAGCAGCGCTGGCAAAGCAGGCCGCTGGCACTGAAGCAGGCGCTGGCACTGAAGCAGGCCGCTGGCACTGAAGCAGGCGCCGGCACTGAAGCAGGCGCTTGGCACTGAAGCAGGCGCAGAAGCAGGCGTACAGAACTGCTGTACGAATATCGTGTGTTTTAGATATCGAGAGCCATGGGAGTGAAGGGGAATAGGGGGAAAAGGATAGGAGAAAAAGGGTGGGAAGGATGGAGGAGGAAGGGAATAGGAGAAAAGGATAGGAGTGGGGAAGAGGATGGGAAGGGAGGAGGAAGGGAATAGGAGGAAAAGGATAGGAGAAAAGGGTGGGAAGAGGATGGGAAGGGAGGAGGAAGGGAATAGGAGGAAAATAGGAAAAAAGGGTGGGAGGATGGGAAGGAGGAGGAAAGGTTGGGAAGAGGATGGGAAGGAGGAGGAAGGAATAGGAGAAAGGATAGGAGAAAAAGGGTGGGAAGAGGATGCGGGAAGAAGAGGATGGGAAGGGAGGAGGAAGGGAATAGGAGGAAGAAGGATAGGAGGAAAAAGGGGTGGGGAAGAGGATGGGAGGGGAGGAAGGAATAGGAGGAAAAGGATAGGAGAAAAAGGGTGGGGAAGAGGATGGGAAGGGAGGAGGAGGGAATAGGAGGAAAGGATAGGGAGAAAAAGGTGGGGAAGAGGATGGGAAGGAGGAGGAAGGGAATAGGGGAAAAGGATAGGAGAAAAAGGGTGGCGAGGATGGGAAGGGAGGAGGAAGGGAATAGGAGGAAAAGGATAGGAGAAAAGGGTAGGGATGAAGGGAGGAGGAGGGAATAGGAGGAAAAGGATAGGAGAAAAAGGGTGGGGAAGGGATGGAAGGAGGAGGAAGGGGGAGGAAAAGGATAGGAGAAAAGGAGGTGGGAGAGGATGGGAAGGGAGGAGGAAGGGAATAGGAGGAAAAGGATAGGAGAAAAAGGGTGGGGAAGAGGATGGGAAGGGAGGAGGAAGGGAATAGGGGGAAAAGGATAGGAAGGATGGGGGGGAGGAGGAATAGGAGAAAAAGGATAGGAGAAAAAGGGTGGGGAAGAGGATGGAGGAGGAGGAAAATAGGTGGGGTAAAGGGATGGGGGAAAGGGAGGAAAGGATGGAAGGGAGGAGGAGGGAATAGGGGGAAAAGGATAGGAGAAAGGGGGTGGGGAAGAGGATGGGAAGGGAGGAAGAATGGGAATAGAACGATGGGAAGAGATGGGGAAGGAAGAGGAAGGGAAAGAGCGAGAGAAAGGATAGGAGAAAGAGGTGGGGAAAGGATGGGAAGGGCAGGAGGAAGGGAATAGGGGAAAAGGATAGGAGAAAAAGGGTGAGGAAGAGGATAGGAAGGGGGGCAGGAGGGAGGGAATAGAAGGAAAGGGGGAAGAGGATAGGAAGGGAGGGCAGGAGGGAGGGGATAGAAGGAGAGGGGGAAGAGGATAGGAAGGGAGGGCAGGGAGGGAGGGATAGAAGGAAAGGGGGAAGAGGATAGGAAGGGAGGGCAGGAGGGAGGGGAAAAAGGAAGGGGGAAGAGGATAGGAAGGGAGGCCAGGAGGAGAGGGGGATAGAAGGGAGGGGGAAGAGGATAGGAAGGGAGGGCAGGAGGGAGGGAAGAAGGAGGGGGGAAGAGGATAGGAAGGAGGGCAGGAGGAGGGGATAGAAGGAGAGGGGAAGAGGATAGGAAGGGAGGGGCAGGAGGGGGATGAAGGAGAGGGGGGATACGAAGGATAGGAAGGGAGGGCAGGGGGGGTCGGGAGGGGAAGAGTAAGGAGGAGGGCAGGAGGGAGGGGAT